CACTGTCAAGGAATCATTAATGATAAGACTTTTAGGAATAAAGCCACTATCCTTATGTGTAAGGAACCAATCAGCTGCAACTGCCAAAATATTCGATTTTAATATAGACAGATTTATACTTATACTATCAAAGACTCTTCTGTTTCTTTCCTTCCACACACTCTAAAGAAGGCTAACCCAAATAGATCTCCAAAGAATAGTTCCTATCTTTAAAATATCGGGTGTGATCTATTGGTCAATAAGAGCTCTGACATTTTGGGGCAAAGGTAATGACAGATTGTGGCACTGCCGAGCCTAATCCCAAAGATATGCAACAAAAAGGCATGAGAGGAAAAGATAGTGCGAAGTGTCGTCACTGTCTTTGCATAGCATATATACATTAGTGATAATAAACCCCCTCTTTCTCAATTTGTCAACAATTACTAATTTATCTTGTCACATGATCCATAAGAATAACTGCACTTTAGGAGGCATATGCAATTTTTTAATCTTGAATAAACCAACATCCAACTCTTTACAACGATTAGAAAATACTAGATTATAGGTTGACTTAACCAAAAAATCTCTCGAAGGGGTAAGATTCTCAAATAAAGCTAGCATCTATATTTGGAGTCAAATATGTGTCATTCAATAATTCCAACAATGTTTGATACTTCTCAATGAATTTGTCTGTACCTCTTATGTATCTGCAAGGAATGGACGAAATAATATTAGTATAAACACCCCCACTAGCCTTCTTGACAGATGCTAGCAGCTTTAAAACTTTTGAGCAAACCTTAGGGAAAAGGTCAGGGAAAAGGTATCTCAAACAAGTCATCTCCAATCCATTTGTCAAACCAAAAGAGAGTAGATTCTCCATTTCCACTTTTTTTTCGAAATTGCTATAGATACATAGATCTCTCATAGTCAATACCTCTCCAAATATGAGACAAACTTCTCTTATTTCTTGGACTTTTAATGAGGCCAAAGTTCAAATCCATTCCATATTTATCACTCAGAACAAGCATCTAGAAAGACTCAAGTTGTGTATGGATCATCCACCATCATTTTACTAAAAGTGCCGAGTTCATATGTTTCAGTTTCCTAACACCCAATCCTACATATTTCATTGATCTACAAACTTTTTCCCAACTCAACAGGCGAAATATTTTCCTTCTTATGTCATCTCCCCATAAGAAATTTCTTATAATTATCTTTAGTTGTTTTTCAATTTCTTTGGCATCTTAAATAAAGACATAAAATATACTGGGAGGTTGGACAAAGTGGATTTAAGAAAAGTATATCTTCCCCCCATAGAAATAATTTTAGCTTTCTAAGTGTCTAGTTTCTTATCAAATCTCTTCACCACCAGATCTCAAATTGATCTTGAAGGCCTTGAATCTGCTAAGGGAATTCCCAAATAAGTACAAGGTAAAGATTCAACCCCACAACCTAATAAATATGTCATTATTGATAGTACCATTTGCGGACAACCAATATTAATGAGCTTAGTTTTACTCAAATTAATTTTAAGTCCAATTGAGAGTTCTACACTTTTCAAGAAAATCCATAGGTAAGTGATTTCCTTAACCGTGGGATCACAAAAAATAATAGTATCATCAACATACTGTAAATGTGATGCTATAAGTTCATTATTACCAATATTAACACCTGATATGATCATTTGCACTGTCAATCCATTAAGCATCATACTAAAGCTCTCAACTGTCAAAGTATATAAAAATGGTGAAAGATGGTCCCCTTGTTTTAATCCTCTCGATCCTTTGAAAAAAACGAGTGTTTTACCATTAAGAAGAACTGAAAAATGGGTAGAAGACATGTGACCATCAATCCACAATCTCCACCTTAAACGAAAACTCATTGTAGCTATGATGCTTTGTAGTACCCCCAATCAACCTTATCATATGCCTTCTCAAAGTCTAGCTTAGAAATAAGGTCCGGTTTGTCATCATTGATTCTTGAGTGGATACATTCTTGTGCAACAAAAATGCTAACCATAATTTGCCTATCCTTCAAGAATGTTGATTGTCGTCCTTTAATAACCATGTGAAGCACTTAGTGCAATGCTATGATTTTATATAGACTGACAATAAGACTGATAGGCCGGATATCTTTGATCTCCGCAATGAAATTTTTCTTTGGAATTAAAGCAATAAAAGTGGAATTTATGGCAATATTAATTTTACTTCTTCAATAAAATTCTTCCAGTAATTGAACAATATTGTCTTTCAAAATATCCCAAAAAGATTGAAAAAAAAACTATTGGGTATCCATCTAGACCAGGAGCCTTATCTCTGCCCAGGTCAAAGACTACATCTTTGATTTCTTGCTCTTCAAATTTTCTCTCCAACCACTGAGCTTGTTCTAACGGCAACCTAGTAAAAGGGAGATCTTGAATGGATAATTGAATCTCACTATCAGCTTCATAAGAATTCTTGAAATGATCAACCAGGGCCCTTTCAGCCACTGAAATGTTGTCACATTATATTTCTTCAATACAAAGGCTTTGAATTAAGTTACTCATTTTCATTGAATTAGCAATAGCATAGAAGAATCTCGTGTTTTTATCTTATACAAGAATCTAGGAATTCTTTTATGACTTTTCAACCTAAATACTAATCAAAAGAGTGGATTTATGTGTTTGAAAAAATTAATATCATGAGATTGAATGTCCAACTCGTGAGTGATTACCTCTAAATATTTAGAAACTCAAAATTCCAGTTTTTTAAATATACATTATTTACTCTAAAGTGGATCACGAAATTTTAAATTGCAAAAATAATCCTATGTACGTCTTTCACTTGAGGGGGTAAGTACACATGTGCTCGTTGAGAGCATGCCATACACGCCTATTTTTAGAGAAAATATGATTAAAATGGTCAAATCATCTCAAAGAATGCTAAATGATTAAATCAATAATTTTACAAAGAAAGTGGCTACTTTTAAAAATCCTTTCATTAGGTACCTCCTCATGAATTTTATTAAAAATATCCAAACTATTATATTTTAGGTTTGTGACCTTGAATAAGTAAATGTATTTTAGTATATTTTCTTTAAGTTAGTTGAGCCAAAGGATTAAAATGCCCCTCTTTCTTCCAGCTCCAAACTCATAATATATTTTTCATCAAAATGGATTTACAACAAAAAAAGGTAGGGTATTTATGTTAAGGGTAAGTGAGGGAGCAAAGAGGCACACATACGCTCTCTTATTTTGGGTTGCAAGCGTGAAACATGATTTTTTATGAAAGCATATTCCAATCTTACAACTTGGAACAAACAAGGATATTTTAGTCATAGGTGTGGTTTCTATCAGGCTGCAACCTTAAACAATCCAATTAAGGCGCAGCTCCAAAATTTATCATAACATATAATTTTGGTGAAAAAATTCCTAGGATTATCTGAAAATCTATTTTCATATTTAATTATAAAATCTTTAAACTAAAAAAATGGTTAAAATCAACCAGATTTATAAATATATGAAAAACTTGAAAATAGACGATCTAGATAATATATTGCGAGATACACTATTTTTGGGAATCAAAATCTTTTTTTTTTCTTTCATATTCATACATCTCGATGTCGAGATGGTCAATTAGAAGTCTTTTCAACATTAAAACAACATTTTTCTAATTGATTTTTGTGGTGCATATGTAAGTCTACATTATATGATTGTAACCTTATAAAACTTTTTCCTTTAGTTATTTAGTTCGAGTAACTTTAACATCTCAATTGTCATTCTAAAGAGATACTGGCACTTTTTAAAAAAGATAATTGAGGATTTACCTTAGTCAAATGTTTTATAAAAAAACCAATGTTTATATAAGGAACCCTCCTTCCATTTTAAAAGTAACTCATATCTCTAAATTTGGCTTGAAAATGTAGTTAATGTGTAAAAACTTTATGATGACTCGAAAATATATTTTCATCCCTAGTTATAAAACAAGCAAATCTATAAATATTTAATAATCTTAAGAATAGCTCATCTAAATAACTTGTCGCTAGATGCACTATATTTAGGGTGAAAGCTTTCTATGTTCCCCCTACAACACAGAAGTTCTATCCTCCCTCTACCATCCAGCCGTCTATTTTTTATCAAGAGAGCCATTCAGCGTTTGATCTTAGATTTGACGTCTCAAAGTATTTTATTTTTAGTTTGTTTTAATACAATTTTTATGAATATGAAATTTGGTACGTGCTATCTTCTCATTGGGGTGCACCTATAAAAAATATTAACAATAATTTATCGATAAAAAATAATGACCAAAATACCTTTTAAAACTTTTAAAAGCATTTTGGTCATTTTGTTTTATTAAAATTTTTTTTTTTATATATATTTTTCGGCAGTGCGAGTTTAATAGAGAAATAAACGTCCAAAATTTGGTATCAAAATAATTTATAGAAAAAATTAAAAATAAAATAATGTAAAAACGTGACATTGTGATTGAAGCAATCTTAAACCCTCAATTAAAAAATAGACGGTTGAATAAAAGAGAAGATAGCACTTGCATGTTTCGGGGGAACGTACAAAGCTTTCCCATGTTTAGGACCCAAAATTCTTTATTTTATTTATTTTATTTATTTTTGTACGGTACACACCTTAAAACGACCTATATAAGGGTAAAGCCCTATTGATATTTGAGGTGGTTTGACTCTGTCATAAAGGGCAAAAGATAGTTGTTCATGTAAAAGTTCCCATATTTGAAGCTTCTCCAGTAATCCCTCGAAGAAGAGTTGGGATTTCACAGAACAGGGTCTCAATAGCAGAGAGAGGAGAAAAATCCAGGGACAAGTGAGGGGAGAAGGCAGAGAGAGAGAGAGAGAGAGAGAGAGAGAGAGAGAGAGAGAGAGAGAGAGAGTAGTAGTAGAGAGAGAAGTAAGTAGTAGTAGTTAGTAGTACGTACGTAGTAGGTAGGTCGGTGTTGTGTGTAGTAGTAGAGTAGTGAGAGAGGAGGAGGGTAGGTAGGTAGGTAGGTA